AACAACAACCACAACAACCACCACCACAACCGCGATGAGAATTTCTCACCTCGGATTTCAGTGCACGGCGGAGCAGCAGCTTCCTGTTACTTCGTGACGTCACGCAGCAGCAGGAGTTGACATGACGCCACTTGCGGGGTACCAAACACTCCCCTCCCACAATGAGCGGCTCTGTGGGCGTGGGTGCCGAACTCGTCGCAATAAACTCGCGACGGCTTTCATGAATATATTATGTTAATGAGCCGCCAGTCACCGGGAGTAGCTTTGCCCAAACAAGGATTCTAGTTGAACAGGTAAGGGAAGTGACCCAGGCAGAGGTGACGTCACGCTCAAGGGCGCAGTGGACCGGGTGGGATGAATACCTTCGTGACATGACGTCACTAGCGAGGTACACCTCCCCCTGGCGTTTTACGCCGATGAGGTAATGCTGAGTGGTGACGTCACAGAGCGGGGTTGGAGTTTAAGTTGATTTAGATTCATTTTCCCTTGCTCCCTCCCTTGATCAGAGACCCCTTGGGTGTGTGAGCTCAGCAACAACTGTGTGTGTGTGTACACTGTGTGTGTGTACACACTGTGCGGGGCCCAGTCATCTAAGTCAGTCGACCAATGGCATTTTTTCATCAATTTATTATTTTCCAATTTTTTTTTCTATTTACGTAACTTTACCGAAAGAACCAAGAATACGGTAGCACATTCTGTATTTATTGCAGAGATTCAAGGTTCAACACCAACAGACACACCTGGCTACCCCAGTAACATTCACCAAAATATGCACAGTCTGCTTAACGGCAGCTATAAAACATAGCGTTGTATCATTCACAACGCGCAGGTCATTGCATATTTGTGTCACGGTCAAAATTGGGGTAATTCCAAACATTATCCAGAAACTACACAATGGAGATGACGCTTCAATGATCGCCCCCTACCGACAGACTCATGTCCACGTGAAGGCCGGCGCAGGGCCACCTTGTGCCACACAGGGGCAGCTGCAACTCAGGGGGGGGGGGGGGCCCTTCGATTGTTTGAGATGAGATTCGATACGAAACACTGAGTTGCCGAGGCAATTAGGCAAGCGACTTATGAGTGCAAATATGATGTTGGTAACGTAGTGAATGCTTGAGAGCTTCATTGTCTCTCGCTCCTGCAGACAGATGTACCCAGCCCACAGCTCCACAGATACCAGACGCTCCTCCTGTGCAGGTTCGGCTACGTACGGTGCAAAAGAAGTTCCAGATACACACAGAGACTCACAGAGACCCACAGATAGCATGGTTGGCTACGTATGGTGCAAAACAAGTTCAACGTACACACAGAGAGTCAGAGCAAGTTTGAGTTGCGTGTAGTCGTGGGCCATGAAAGTTGAATGGGCGCATGTTGCTACTGACAGTATTTGAATACGGTTGGAAAGACGCTGATAGAGACACACACAGAGACTGACAATAGAGAGGTGGACAGAAACAGACAAGAGGAAGACAGAAAGATACAGAGACGACAGAGACACAGTCAGCGAGAGAGACACAAAGAGGGGAACAGAGACACAGACGGATAGAGAGATGTTGAATCGAACACACTTAACTCGCTCCATTGAGATTCCTCCATCTTTGCCCATCCCTGGAAGTAAGTCGTTCTAGTTTCTATTTACTTCATTGCGTGTGGTGTGTACGTGTAAGCAATGTGGGATATCGATGTATACGGATATGAACAAGTTCAACAGACAAGACGTCTTTCTTTGGTTCTTTGAGTGAAGTCACATAGGTAGAAAAAATCAATAAAAAATAAATCACGACGTTTTGATCGCAACATGAGCGGTCGTCCTCAGGTGAAAACATCCAGACATTGTCGCGGCAGAAGTCACGTGAGCTACGGCACGTGCCAAAGATAAGGTGACCCCCCCCCTCCCCCCCGTGGCTCGCCCCGCTCAGCTGAGCATTGTTTTAATGCGGTGGGCTCACGCGAAATTTGTTTCTCTAAAAAGAAGGTACTTTGAAAACGCACTGGCTATTCTCTTTTATATAAGCGTTGTGTCCTTAACTAACCACACGGAGACGTCTGGTTGAAGCAACGCGTTTATTATAACTCTTTTGAACTCGGCTCTTCACACTACTGTAACACGAAGGGGTACGGCCCCTTCCACCCGATAGCCTCCAGGAGTGACAGCCTCCCTTCTATGGCAGCCTGCACACTCCGGGCTCTGCTACCCACGGGTCCCTTAGCCCGGCGTTAAGGGAAGACTGGACGACCCGTCCCAGACAGGGTATGGGAGCTCACCTCTGGTCCACTACAACCCGGCTCTAACAAGAGCCTCGGTTGAGGGTCCCTGGGTGCTGGTCCAGTCTTCAGGTCTTCGGATGTCTTCAGGCTTGAGTTGGTGAACACTGCCCGGCCGGTCCAGGTTGGGGTCACCCCTCCCCTCCTGAACCACCCCCCCCCCCCCCGCTCCCAAAACCTTCTGGAAGGTCTTATCTTAAGGGGCCTTAGAGACGGGTGGGGGGTCAGGGATGTTATTCTCCGGTCACGGGGGGGGGGGGGGGGCGGGGGTTTACTTTGGTCGACCCGTACACACCTCACTCTCTCTCTCTCGGCTGCCCCCTGTTGACCCGTGAACGTGGTGGCAGGTCAGCTTACAGCGCCTTGTTGTGGCGCTTACGCACAACTTCGTGACTAACGCTGCACGTTCCGTCGTATTCATGCAGGGGGCGCTGCAAACCTACGCATCCCCTGCATGAACGACGGAGGCGCAGGGACAGACGTTCGATCGCATTGGAATCAATTTGCGGACGGCGGTCTTCTCGCACGGCCAGCTCTGTGTCGCCTCATCTCGATCCCGCGATCCCAACCAGGTGAAAGTCCGCATCGAACCAAACCACCGGCAAAGCCATCTACTTAATGACCCGAGAAAATTCACACGAAATATCGTTTCCAATTAATAAGCTTTTAATGAAGAAATACAATTATCTAATTCAAAATAATACAATTCAAAGTTGTTTCATTTTAAAACTTCAAAACGGAGCATCGGGAGCTTGCGTAGAGGCGTCGTTCGTGTGCAATTTTTTTCGTGACTTTCCTGGCCCCAGGCCGTAAATGGTTGTGAGGGGCACCGCAGGCGATCTGGCTTGCTTCAAGCCATGGTTGTGAACATCCAGACGTTAATCAGCAAGGACCATTTCTTGTCCTAATTCGAGAAAATCTACATCAACACGTAATACAAAATTATAATTCGTGTTGTAGAGAATGTATCTCCTCTACGTGTAACTTTTGAGTGGTATGCCTTGTAACTGATGAATGATCCGAGGGTGCTCCCTATTTCAAAGACAATGAGTTGCTCCAGAGGGAGAAGCTTCCTGAAACATAAAAATACCCTTTGACCTGTATCACAAGAACAATGAGTCTCACCTGAGTTATCTGTACAGGTTACTTCCAAAACACACTTTGTCCTAACATCACTTATTCAATATTTGACCCTTTAACACAAAATGTTACATGTACGCACACAATCAGACAAGTATTAATTCTAAATTATTGACAGGCATATGAACAAAATTGAATTGCAGGTGCACCCCAAGCCTGTTCCCACCCCTCCCCCCCCCCCGCTTCTGTGTATATGCAAGATGTGCTGTTTTGAGCTGCCGCAAGATGAGCTGCCACTCTCCTTTTGCTCCCCTGCCCAACCTTATTTCCTATTTAAGCTTCTGTTCACCTCTCTCTCTCCTTGCCTCTCTGTCTTTCCTACTGACCATGTACCTCGTATTTTCACTCTATGCTGGTTTATGCAATCCAGAAGTTGAACACGAAATTTTACACTTCTGAAATTCGTGGTCCGCCAGGAAGTGTCTGTGTTGTTGGCCTGACTGGTTGTGCTTCACATGTTTTTTAGGTTTGTTAAATTCTCGTCTCTCATCTTTTTTGTTGTATTTACCTCCATGATTTGTTCTTGCCATGATTTGTCCTTGACACCTGATGAATATCGCTTGTGTTGTGATCTAAACGTCATGATTGTTTTGTATTTAATATAATTTTATTGTATTTCTACATACGTGACTTTACCGAAAAAACCAATGAGTAAGGTTACAGCGCATTAACAAGAAGCTATTTAAAAAAAATATGCACCGTCTGCTTAAGTGCATGTACAAAATACTATTGCGCCATTCAAAACGAGTTGGCCATTGCATGCTGGCGTCTGGGTCAAAATGTATCAAATTCTAAACATTACCTACAAACTACACAACCAAGATGCCGCATCAACCATCACCCCCTACTGACAGGCTCTTGTCCACATGCAGGCCGGTGCAGGGCCACCACCTTGTGCCACACAGGGGCAGCTGCTATTTGGGGATGCTCTTCGAGTGTTTGAGACGAGATACGATACAAAACTCCGAATTGCCAGAGGCGATTAAGCAAACAAAATATAAATGGAATTATTAGAACATAGTGAATGCTTGGGAGCTTATTGGCTCTCGCTCATGGTTAGAGATCTACCCAACCCACAGGTCCACAAAGACTGGCCGCTCTTACCTAGGAATTGAGTGTTCAACTTCATTGATTGTCATTAAAGGCCTGTGACAAAGGTGCATCTATTGGAGCGACATTGTCTCAAGCTTACACATCTAACGGGTCTCCAAATGACTTCGTATTGTCTCGGAGGAAGTCCACCCACACCTCCACTTCCACAAACTGCTGGGAGTTGCCTCGCTCTGCCTTACAGTCAGAATTCTCCTCCTGCTTCACGTTTCCTCCATTGCTGTGGTCCGACTTTGGAGTTGAATCATCTTCACATTTTACCTTCACTTCTTCGCTCTTCACCATCACTTCTTCACATTTCACCTTCACCTCTTTATATTTCACCTCGATACCTTTAAAAGTGTCCAAGCTGGGATTTTCTTCCAGTTCTTGTTTCATGAGGGATGGGCACATTGCGCCACTTTGACTTTCACAAGCTGATTTCAGACTCCACTCCTTGTGGGTCTTCTGATGCTTGTGTGTTGTCTGGTGTACATGAAGATTTGATGAACGTGCAAACGCCTTCCCACACACACTGCACTTGAAGGGTTTCTCTTCCCCGTGACTTCTCTGGTGTGCTACAAGAGTAGATGACTGTGCAAACGCCTTCCCACACACACTGCACTTGAAGGGGTTCTCTCCTGTGTGTGTCCTCTGGTGTTTTTTAAGAGTAGATGAATGTGCAAACGCCTTCCCACACACACTGCACTTGAAGGGTTTCTCTCCTGTGTGTGTACTCTGGTGTGTTATAAGAACAGATGAACGTGCAAACGCCTTCCCACACAGACTGCACTTGAAGGGTTTCTCTCCCGTGTGTCTTCTCTGATGTGTTACAAGACCAGATGAATGTGTAAACGCCTTCCCACACAAACTGCACTTGAAGGGTTTCTCTCCCATGTGTGTTCTCTGGTGGACATGAAGATTTGATGAAAGTGTAAATGCCTTCCCACACACACTGCACTTGAAGGGTTTCTCTCCTGTGTGTGTTCTCTGGTGTGTTATAAGAACAGATGAACGTGCAAACGCCTTCCCACACACACTGCACTTGAAGGGTTTCTCTCCTGTGTGTGTTCTCTGGTGTGTTACAAGAGCAGATGAACATGTAAACGCCTTGCCACACACACTGCACCTGAAGGGCTTCTCTCCCGTGTGTGTTCTCGTGTGTTTTACCAGATTTGGTGACTGTGAAAACGCCTTCCCACACACACTGCAATTGAAGGGTTTCTCTCCCGTGTGTGTTCTCTGGTGTGTTACAAGAGCAGATGAATCTGAAAACGCCTTCCCACACACACTGCACTTGAAGGGTTTCTCTCCCGTGTGAGTTCTCCGGTGTGCTTGAAGATGTGGTGACTGTGCAAACGCCTTCCGACACACACTGCACTTGAAGGGTTTCTTTCCCGTGTGCGATCTCTGGTGTGTTACAAGAGCAGATGAATGTGCAAACGCCTTCCGACACACACTGCACTTGAAGGGTTTCTCTCCCGTGTGTGTTCTCTGGTGTACTTGAAGATGTGGTGACTGTGTAAACGCCTTCCCACACACACTGCACTTGAAGGGTTTCTTTCCCGTATGTGTTCTCTGGTGTGTTACAAGAGCAGATGAATGTGCAAACGCCTTCCCACACACACTGCACTTGAAGGGTTTCTCTCCTGTGTGAGTTATCTGGTGCCGTGTCAAATTTCCAGTACGATCCGTGCTGTATGCACGCCGGTCGCATTGTTGCCTTTTTGCACCGAGCCGCGCCGAGTGCCTTTGCTCCATCAGACAAATACTGCAGAGGAAGCGACAGCTGCAGACAGAAAAAAAGAATATAAAACACTATCTACACGTCAGTATCGATGCACAGAGGAATGCATACACACAGTAACACGTGACTAACACTATACTTCTTCATATATTCATGTTATAGTGAAAAAGTGTCCCAAATTCATCACACGATCTGTTATGGCACACAATGAGAGGGCAAATGGTTATAAACGTGCCTGGAAGCCCTAGTATTTTCAAAATGAATGTTAACCCAAAACTCCGAGCACACAATTTCGGATGTCTGGCTTCAAAAGGAATATTTATGTAAGCTAAATTCAGCTGACATAGCAAAGGGTGTTGAAAATAATACTATTTGTGTTATTCAGAAATGCATAAATTAATGTTCAATCACAACTTAGAGGTGTGAACCCAGGCACAGATGTCCTTGAATGCTGGGATGAACAGTTCCGACTTCAGCTGCATGTGTGCTGTGATAACTTCCTGACTCCATTCTTACAAAGAGTTGCAGAGAAAAAATACTAAAATAAACTACTGTTTTGATATAAGACCCGTGCTCAATAGAGTTAATAGACTTCACTGCAAATACAAACTTGACACCGTCACACACTCAGAGGTGGAGCCAGGATTTTCAGTTAGGGGGGGCAACCCCTTCGATCGGACTGTTGGGGGGGCACGTGCCACCCCACTCCCACTGGCTCCACCACTGTCACGCACTGGCATGGTTCACAGGTGGTGGTGTGTCCAGACTCACGCCTGGCCACGTTCACCTGCTCAGAATTAATAGTTCCTCATTCCATCAAGTAATTCATTGAGGATCAATCAACACAGCCGAGGCTGCGTGTCTCTCTCTCTCTCTCTCTCCCCGTGGTCGCGTGGATTTCCCTCCCGATCCCCGGGTTTCCCCTCCACATGTAGAGAGTGAACACCACCACGCGCCCAGAGTGAACACCGCCACGCGCCCAGAGTGAACACCGCCAAGCGTCTAGAGTGAACACCGCCACGCGCCCAGAGTGAACACCGCCAAGCGTCTAGAGTGAACACCGCCACGCGACCAGAGTGAACACCGCCACGCGTCCAGAGTGAACACCGCCACGCGTCTAGAGTGAACACCGCCACGCGCCCAGAGTGAACACCGCCACGCGTCCAAAGTGAACACCGCCATGCGTCCAAAGTGAACACCGCCACGCGTCCAGAGTGAACACCGCCGCGCGTCTAGAGTGAACACCGCCACGCGTCCAGAGTGAACACCGCCAAGCTTCTAGAGTGACCACCGCCACGCGTCTAGAGTGAACACCGCCACACGTCCAGAGTGAACACCGCCACGTGTCTAGAGTGAACACCGCCACGCGCCCAGAGTGAACACCGCCACGCGCCCAGAGTGAACACCGCCACGCGTCCAAAGTGAACACCGCCACGCGTCCAAAGTGAACACCGCCACGCGTCCAAAGTGAACACTGCCACGCGTCCAGTGAACACCGCCGCGCGTCTAGAGTGAACACCGCCACGCGTCCAGAGTGAACACCGTCAAGCTTCTAGAGTGACCACCGCCAGGCGTCTAGAATGAACACCGCCACACGTCCAGAGTGAACACCGCCACGTGTCTAGAGTGAACACCGCCACGCGCCCAGAGTGAACACCGCCACGCACCCAGAATGAACACCGCCACGCGTCCAAAGTGAACACCGCCACGCGTCCAAAGTGAACACCGCCACGCGTCCAGAGTGAACACCGCCGCGCGTCTAGAGTGAACACCGCTACGCGTCTAGAGTGAACACCACCACGCGCCCAGTGTGAACACCGCCACGCGCCCAGAGTGAACACCGCCACGCGTCTAGAGTGAACACCGCCGTGCGTCTAGAGGGAACACCAACACGCGTCTAGAGTGAACACCGCCACGCGCACTGAGTGAACACCGCCACGCTGTTGACGAGCCTCACCTTGTGTTGTGGGCAGGTCGCTTCTGAAAAAAACAAAAGCGGTACAGCAGCTCAAGCGGGCTTGGCCTGGTAAAAAAGAATGAAATAAAAACTGCGTGAATATTTAAAAGTAAAACAAAGTGACAAAGAGGCGAGCCGTGTGAAGACAAATTAAACTTAAGCGAGAGAATTAAAGCAAACGCGATCAGGCGAGGGCAGGAGGCAAGGCCCCGCGTGACTAGGCCCCGCGCTGTAAAGTGGACATCGCTTCCATGCTCGCTGCTACTCAATTGACATTCCTACGAGAGAGAGGGAGGCTCTACCTCGGTAAACAACAACCACCACCACCACAACCACCACCGCCACCACCACAACAACCACCATCACAACAACCACCACCAGAACAACCATCACAACAACCACCACCAGAACAACCACCACAACAGCCACCACCACCACCATCAAAACCATTACCACCAAAACCACACCACAACCACCACAACAACCACCACAACAACCAACACAACAACCACCACAACAACCACAACCACCACCATAACAACCACCACCACCACACGAAACACAACCACCACAACAACCACCACAACAACCACCACCACAACAACCACAACAACCACCACCACAACGACCACCACAACAACCACCACAACCACCACCACAACCACCACAACCACAACAACCGCCACTGCAACAACCACCACAACAACCACCACAACCACCACAACAACCACAACCAACACCACAACAACCACCACCACCACAACAACCACCACCACAACAACCACCACCACAACAACCACCACAACAACCACAACCACCACAACAACCACCATCACCAAAACCACAACCACAACCACAACAACCACCACCACAATAACCACAACAACCACCACAATAACCACCACAATAACCACAACAACCACCACCACAACAACCACCACCACAACCACCACCACAACAACCACAACCACCACCACAACAACCACCACCACAACCACCACCACAACAACCACTACCACCACCACAACAACCACCACCACAACAACCACCACCACAATAACCACAACAACCACCACAATAACCACCACAATAACTACCACCACAACCACCACTACAACAACCACCACCACAACCACCACCACAACCACCACCACAACAAACACCACAACAACCACAACAACAACAACAACCGCCATTCGCCACCAAGTGGCGGTGACGTCACCACGACGCTTGTGCCAGGCTATGTGCACCCTGAGGCCACGTGAAGTGTCGAACGCCCGCTGGCAGGAGGTCACGGGGCAGACCCAGGTGCCACGGGTCGACTGACTGAGATGACTGGCTGATGCACCACCTGTGCCCCCTACTGTGCCAACCTGCTGTGCTTTAGCCACCCGGCACTCCGCTCGCTGTTGTGAGCGTCGCTCCTCCGCCCTCCGTTGTTGTTGGAGGGCGACTGCCTCCAACTGCCCAGTAGCATCCTTCACGAGCCTCCTCCACAGAGGCCAATCTTGACACCGCTGGTACCAGTCATCGGCAAGTCCACTCAGCTCCACGTCCTCCTGTACCACATCACTCCATCTCTTCTCTAGCCCGTGCCGCGCCCGCTTAGCCCCCTCAATCCGGCCAAACAAAAGCTGTTTCGGCATGCGGTGGCTGGGCATGCGGGCTACATGACCCAGCCATCACAGCCTTGCCTGCCGGAGGAGCTCACCGATGGGACCCTGCCCAGATCTTTCAAGGATTTGTGAGCTCCTCACACAATCCAGTCTGGTTAAACCCAGGATGGATCGTAGGCAGGCCAGCCTAAATGTTTCTAACCGGCGAAGATGTTCCATTAGGGGGGTCCACGTTTCGCAAGCGTAGAGAAGGGAGGGAATGACCGTGGCCGAGAAGACCTGAAGCTTAGTGCGGAGCGACAGACCAGGTAGCTTCCACACAGCGTTACGCAACCGATGAAAAGATATTGCCGCTCGACTGATTCGGAGTGAGACCTCTGCTGTTAAACTGGAGCCAGTCATAAGCACACTGCCCAGGTATGGGAAACTCTCCACTCTCTCCACAACTGCCCCATCACCGATTGGGAGTTGTGGGGGTGGAGTGTCCGATGGTACAAAATACCCAGGCAGGTGCTTAGTTTTGGTGGGGCTGATGGTAAGGCCCCACCTCTTAGTGGCACGCTCCAGTCTCAGCAGCAGCGTCTCCAACTCCTCCTCTGACTGAGCAGCTATTACCAAGTCATCAGCATACATAACGTGGTTGAGCAATAGGGAGCCATCCCTTGACCGCACCCGGGCATCGATTAGCCTCCCATTATATCTGTACCATATGGAGATTCCCCCGGTACAGCTATTGAAGGCTTCACGAACTACGTGGTCAAAATAGATGTTAAATAATGTGGGAGCCAGAGGACATCCCTTTCGCACCCCAAGGTGTACAGGGAATGGCTCTGACTCCCGGCCACGTAGTTTTACCCGGGCCCGCTCACCATCATGAAGGTCCTTAATGATCGTGAGCAGAGGGTCAGGTACTCCAAAAGCACGAAGAACGACCCAGAGCCCAGGCCTACTGATGGTATCATAGGCCTTGACCAGGTCAATAAAGCAGAGATGTAGGTCTTGTTGGAATTCCCTACACCTCTGCTGTAGCAGACGGACAGAAAATATGGCATCTGTGCAGGACCGCCCTTTCCTGAAACCGCATTGGGGCTCCGCAAGCCTCTCCTCAGCGTGCCTGGCAAGGCGATGCTGAATAATCCTTGCCAGGACCTTTCCCAGCACACTGAGGAGTGAGATGCCCCTGTAGTTGTTACAGTCTGTGCGGTCCCCCTTCTTAAAAAGGGGGACCACCAGGGCATCCTTCCAATCCTGCGGAACCCGTCCAGTGGTCCAGACTGTTGTTATGATGTCATATAGGGCAGTCTGTGCACAAACGCCACCCTCCCTCAGCATTTCGCTTG